AACCTCACTGGGTTTAAGACGGAGCTGTGTAAGTTCCTAAAGGGGATTATACACTGTATAGGTGGTGGGATCCAGCCATGCTGATTGCCTCCTGCTCTACCAGAGGTCAGCAGAACTAGAGATGCCCAACATCACAGAGGATGCACGAAGCCCCTGGCAGATGTTACATGTGTGGCGCAATAAATATGTCAGTTGTGCTGTAAATAGCAACATGCCAAATGGCCGGCCAATTTCTGGCACCATCGAATGAATGCAAACCAGCCATCAAGCCACATATAATGCAAAACAACTTTGTGGCTGGTTTGTAGCTCACCATAATCCTCATCAGAACAAAGGTACCTCTGAGTCTGGATCCTGTGGGGCAAGGCAGCAAATGCGCTGGGCTTTCAGGGGCATAGGGTTGAACTCCCTGGTGAGGGGGAGCCCCTTGGCACCCCTCAAGGGGATCCCTGCAGGTCACCTTTGGGTTGCAAGGTTCCCTTGGAAAAGAATGACACAATTGGGATCAGTCCCCAGTCCTGAAAAGCATGTGTCCAGCCATGCCCTGGTGGTACCCTCAAGCAAGACATGCAATTACTGGGATCAGGGTTCAGGGAAGTTGAGGTTGGATAATAGGAAAAAGTCTCTCACGAGGAGGATAGTGAAGCACTGGAGCAGGCTGCCTAGAGAGGTGGTGGAGTCTCCATCCTTGGAGGTTTTGAAGACTTGGATAAACAAAGTTTTGCCTTGAGATGATGTAGTTGGGGCTGGTCCTGCTTTGAGCAGGGGGTTGGACTAGATGTGACCTCCTGAGGTGCCTTCCAACCTTCATTTTCTATCACCCTATGATCACCTTCCCCACCCATCCCAGTCTATCATCTTTCTGATTCAGATTACAAACCCTCTGGGGTAAAGGCCTCATTTTCTTATATGCCTGCAATGCGGTATTCATGCCTATGTTGCTAGCTACGTAATTACACAGAGAAAACCACCTCCCCAACCATCCTTGCATTTGCACAGCCAAGCACTCGAGTCTTCAGAAGTGCCAGAATGAAGGTTGCCTGAGCCGTTGTGATTTCCCCCCCTGCCAGGTACGCGCACCTTACGATACAATCTTTAATTACATGATCCCATCCTATTTGTTTCCAAAGGGCTGCTGCCTCTGTCAGCGCAAAGGAAGGCCGGAGCTTAATGAATGAGCAGCTCTTCAATATTACATTTTATCCTCATTGTTCACCGCAGCTCTAGGTCCTATTTACTGCCTACCATTCAAACCCTCTTCTCAAGACAGAATGATTAATTTCCTCCTGGACTTTTCCTTGGCTTGCACTGGGTCCTTTGCAAATGGCGATTCATTTGTTCTCATGTCATCTTTGTGAGGGGCAGGGGGGTTGTTATTGCCCTATGAAAGGGAGCTGAGGAAAAGCCAATCCACTTATTTTGGGTGCTCAGTTTGAGACGGAAGGACCTGGCTTTTCAGTATTCTGTAGCCCTGAGAGTGCCGAGAGACAAGCAGGTCCTCACTCTAACTCGTGGCGCTTCACAGAAAGCACCATGAGTTATAGCAAGCAGTGCAGAGAGTAGCAAAATGGAAGGTGGGGGGAGATGTGTGAAGGGACAGGGCAGGAACTCCCTTTTCAAGTCCTTGCCCCTCCTGGGGCTAGAGAAGGGACACGTCTCTCTCCTTCCATATTCGGTGTGCAGGTAATACAAGAAGGGAAGGGCTGGCTTCCTAAAGGCCATATGGATGTCTCCATAAGACAGTCTTCCTGCTGCCCTGGTCATCCCAGGAGCCCTCTGCCCCAGCCCAGCTGAACATGCATGACCAGAACTGCACGCAACGTTCGTGATGTCTCTCCAGCACTCATGCATCTATCTGTCCAGCTGCCGGAAATGCTTTGCATGAGCCACCCTAGGACAGCATTTGCCTTTGATCACAGCTGCAGCACTTCTAATTTTCTATGCTGAAGGCTGTAGTTTCCTGGTAGCTAGCCCAGCAGGCAACCCTGCAGCCCTCAGGACAGATGGCATTGGGTCTTCAGTGGACTGGAGTACCAGAGCAGAGACCCAAATGGCACCAGAGCATGCAACCTTTGTGTGGGCACTGGGAGAGTCCCACAGCATGGGCATTAAAGAAGGTTTCTTTTGAGCTCGTGTCTTCTCTCCCTCTCTTGTGCAAGCTGCCACACACAAGGCAGCTGTTGTTTTCCAGACCGGCTGCATTGCAGTGGTGCTCGCAGAGCAGTTTAGGGTGAAACGTGGTCGGACTTGCCAGTGTGTCTGTGCTACAGATGGATTCATGTAGGGGTACACATCTGCCTGTGCTAGAGGTGCACGTAGGGATACACATCTGTCTGTCCTAGAGGTGCACGTAGGGGTGTACATCTATCTGTGCTAGAGGTGCATGTAGGGGTGCTCATTTGCATGTCCTAGAGGTGCATGTAGGTGTGCACATCTGCCTATGCTAGAGGTGCACGTAGGGATACACATCTGTCTGTGCTAGAGGTGCACGTAGGGGTGCACATGTCTGTGCTAGAGGTGCATGTAGGGGTGCTCATTTGCATGTCCTAGAGGTGCACGTAGGTGTGCACATCTGCCTATGCTAGAGGTGCACGTAGGGATACACATCTGTCTGTGCTAGAGGTGCACGTAGGGGTGCACATGTCTGTGCTAGAGGTGCACGTAGGGGTGCACGTCTCACAGTCTGTGCTAGAGGTGCATGTAGGGGTGTCTGTCTGCGCTAGAGGTGCATGTAGGGGTGCTCATTTGCATGTCCTAGAGGTGCATGTAGGTGTGCACATCTGCCTATGCTAGAGGTGCACGTAGGGATACACATCTGTCTGTCCTAGAGGTGCACGTAGGGGTTCACATCTGTCTGTGCTAAAGGTGCATGTAGGGGTGCACATCTGTCTGTGCTAGAGGTGCATGTAGGGGTGCTCATTTGCCTGTCCTAGAGGTGTACATAGGGGTGCACAGCTGTCTGTCCTAGAGGTGTATGTAGCGGTGTACATCTGTCTGTGCTAGAGGTGCATGTAGGGGTGCTCATTTGCCTGTCCTAGAGGTGCATGTAGGGGCGCACATCTGTCTGTCCTAGAGGTGCACGTAGGGGTGCACATGTCTGTGCTAGAGGTGCATGTAGGGGTGCATATCTCTCTGTGCTAAAGGTGCATATAGGGGTGCACATCTGTCTGTCCTAGGCATAAAGAAGCAGAGCTGGAAGGGACCTGAAGAGGTCATGTCTAGTCCGATCCCACCAAGGCCCGGGACCAACTGGTCAACCTCCTCCTGGCTCTGGCCAAGCTGGTTATCTGGCTATCCAGGAAGGAGGCTCTGGCCGGGAAGGCTCCCGGTCACCTCGGGGCGTTTTTCCTTGGTGTCCTTTGCGCGCGTCTCCGGGCGGAGCACCACTGGGCAGTGGCCGCCGGCAAGCTCAAGCAGTTTGTCAGCCGGTGGGCGCTGTCCGGGGTGCTCTGCTCACTGACCCCCGGGGGAGCACTTGTTTTGAACCTTTGACCCCACACGCACACCCTGTTTTTCTTTTAGTTGTCCCCCATAATGTTTCTGTAACTTTCGGGAGCCCAGCCGCCCACTTGTAGAGTGGCGGCCCCTGAAGATTTTTTTGTTCCTGTGAGTCATCTGTCCGGTCACCAGCTGGACGCCGGTACCGCCATTGGCCACCCGACCGGGGTGGCCCTAAGACCTAGATGGACATTTAAGACTTTCAATAGTCCGATCCCTGCCTGAAGCAGGATCAGCTCTATCCAAACCAGCGCAGACAAATCCATAATCTAAATGCTTTGTAAAACTACTGTCAACCCTGACACAGCACCAGCCATCACACTCCACCTGCCACAGGTAAACCAAGTGGACCACGGCAGCCAACGTCCTGCTGCTGCAAAGGTTGTTAATAGATGCTCGAGAGATCCCAGGCAGAGACTGTGCCCCCGCTACAGGGGAAGGCAACCCCCCCCAAGTCTGTACCAATCTGACCAGGGGGGAACATAAATAGCTTCAGCGCAAGCTGCTTCACACCATGCTCAAGGCGGAGGGGAGGGATAGGCCTGACCCCTTCAAAACTTCCAGGCCTCCCCAGGAGACCTAAAGGAGGACTGCCTTTCACGAGAGGGAGCACCTGTGCCACGCAGTCCAGCTCCTCTGCTTTGCAACAGCATGCACTCCCGGATTTGCAGACTGGTGGCTGTCCCGCAGGCCCAGATTTAAGGAGAAGGGGACTGTCAGCCGCGATGGTTTGGACAGGGTTAGTGCTGCCTGGAGCAGGGGGTTGGACGATACGACTCCCTCGGGGCTCTGGCAGCCCTGCTGTCGGGTGGTTGTACAGGGAGAAGTGCCATCCCGGTGGTTGCTAAGCTTCTAATGGACTAAATTGGTTTGCTGTAATTGATAGGTGCGCTGGAATCTGCTGTGATATTTGCCAACGGAGAGGCTGACAAATGCAAGTCCGGGAACTGCCTTGGAAACAGGAATGAAGCCGAGGTTTGGGTCTCAGAGACCTGGTCAGCGGGTGCATCTACACAAGATGCTTCCTGCACATTAGCCTAATAACACTGCGTGTCACAGCACAAAGCACACTAATAGCCAGCTGCGCAGGGTTATTAGACTAGCGCACAGCAAGCGCCGCTAAATAACCACGTGCCGGTGCTACTGTGCAGCAACTCTAGGCACTGTGCATTTAGGTAGTGCTTTATTTACTAAATGCACAGTATCTACGGTGCATTAATGAACATGTAGATGCGCCCAGTGATGTACAGGAGGCAGACTTTTCACCCCCCGGCATTCAAGGCTGCCCTACAAATGTCCCAATGTACCTTGACAGAGCAGGAAAATTGTATCCGCTGCTCCCAACACCTGGGTGCTCTTTTGAAGCATCCCATCCAGGGAATAAAACCTCCTCCTGCTTAGCGGTACATTAAAATAGGAAGCCCTGTGCCACCCAGCCGAGCACCCAGACCAGTCCTCTCAACCCCAATGCCCCCTCCTTCCCATTCAAAAACAGCCAAGGGTTTGGTGTATGAAATTTATTAGGAAAAAAAAAATTCCTCATTTGTTTCCCCTTCACAACGATTTCAGGGGGAACAAGGAAACCCCAGAACAACCGATGTCATCAGAAGAGAAGACAGGAAAGCTGGAAAAGAGTTTCACACGCACCCACGCACGCTGGGCCACCGAACCCCTACGAACCAGCCGCGCTTTACAGTATGTACAGGTGGCTCTGTACAGAGGAGACAGCGCCGGGAGAGAAGTAACACACGCACACAGACACACCCACGTTAAACCAGCAAGAGGTGGGGGGGTGAAACACAGGGACGGGGCCACGGCTCAGATAATGCCCACGGCACGGCTTGGTTTCGCTTGCCTTCCCGATGCCCGTGAGGAGCCGGGGGGGCTGGTAGCATCTTTGGACCGTGGGCAAGACGGTTTGCGATGACCCCCTGCCCCTCCACTCCTGTCCGCTTGGTCGAGCTGGTGGGGTGTCGGGGACGGGCTTTTGCAGCTTGCCGACATCTCTGGCTTTGATTCGGGGAAGGAAAGGCGAGGGGGTAGGGAGGAGAGAGCCAGGCTGCAGGAAAAGCATGCTTCTGTGTGTGTGCAAGCTGAGAGCGCTTGAGTTTGCTACGGCTGGGTCTCACTCGCCCTATTTTAATACATCTCTCCAGGGCAGTTGCACTGGGGAGGGGGATTTGACTCACCGATCGTTTTCTTTTACTCCCCTGGACCTTTTCCACCTCATCACCCAGGACCGAGGCAGGACCCTGAGACCCCAGCCCCCAAGCACGACACACACAGCACGCTTTGCTCTTCTTGCAGAGGGAGCTGGAGGACTGATAAATAATACCACGCGCACTTACACTGGCTATAGTACACCATTGTGGTTAGAAACTAGTATAAGCTCTTCCAGGTAAAACAGAGCTGATCACAATCAGAGAAAGCTTTGTTATCAGGACAGGTCTTTTTGGCCTTCCGGGTCGCGTCGCCGGTGGGGCGCCCTCCGCTTTCTTCGCTGGCTGGCCCTCGGCGAATATTTACAACTGCCCTCAGAAGGCTTTTGGTAGAGACAAAAAGAGGCGTTCTCACACACGAAGCTATCGGCCAACATTCACGTTGAGGAGCTAGGCAGGGTCCTATGGAGTATTTCATACAAAGCATCTTTCTAAAGGCAACTGAGAATAGGTAAGGCAAATGACTACACGGTTGCAGTTAGCGTCTGGTCTCCAGAGTCCCCCACTGCTCTCCACGCACATCGGAGCACGCGACAGATACTCAGAGAAACAGACAATTTTTTTTTTTTCTCTTTAAAAAAAAAAAAAGCCAAGAGGAAAACCTCCAGGTAGCCCGAGCCCGGGAGGAGTCACGCGGGAAGCCGGTGTTTGCTAGGTGCAGGCTGCAATGGGTCACTGAATAGCCCATAGTCCTGCACGACCTCCGTTCAGGATGGCTCCGCTCCCAGGCCTTCCCGGGAAACTACAGCCCTTTCTATCCAAGTAGAGGTTCAAGCCTTGCAGCCTTTCCTGGGACACAGGGGAGCAGAAGCCGTACGCAGACAGGGACGCTGAGGTACAGAGACATCCAGTGACGTGCCCAAGGCCGTGCAGTGTGCCAGTGGCAGTGCCAGCAAAAGCATCCCCATCTCAGGCCGCCTGCCGGCGAATCCCTTCTCCTGGCCCAGAGCACGGCACTGGGATGCAAACCTGTGGCATGGGGTGCGGGAAGCCGAGGCCCAATGCTACCTGAAAGGCCCCTCTGTCCAGTACGTTTGGGACTGAGCCTTCCCCATGTCTCAGCACTGGAAATTCAAGCAGTGTTGGGCTACCCAAACACGCCAGCTCCTAGCTGTCCCCCTGCCCCGGCTGATTTCTGCAGCGGGCTACACCTGGCTCAGCAGCACGCTCCCTGGGGCTGCATCCTGATCCCCCACACAAAAATATATGGACGCTTAGCTTCATATTAGCCCTCGCGGCCCAGGTCCCGCTCTCCCCGCTGCCCGGCGGAGTGTCTCGCAGCCGTGGATGCGTCGAATGTCTTTGGTTGCTATCGGCCCTTGTTCCCAGAGGCAGGATTTCCATGGATCACGGGAGCCACGTTCACAAGCCGCGAGCAGGTAAACGTGGGCGGGATTGTCAGAACGCCAGGCCAGGCTCGAAAGGCTTGCGGCTGCTTTGATCGGACGGGGGGGAACTGTACGGTGGGCGAATGCCAGACCTTAAGCCTTCAAAGCTGGGTTGAAATGGGATTCAGTAATGCCCTGCTGTGCATGGGGTGGAGGAGTAGCAGAAGGTCAATGCCCCGTGGGACAGCCCGGAGCTGCAGGCAGCCCCATGCTCTTTTCCAAGCCCTATTCCTGGCTTCCTTGCAATGGTCTGAAACCCGGTAAATGCTCTTTGGAGCCATGTCTACCTCCGCTTTGCAGTACGGGAGGGGTGACATGAGGCAAGCAGCTTCTGCTGAAGGCAAGGGCCCGTGAGCTGCTCTGCTTTATGAGGCTGGGATGTGGCCTGCTGGGCATCGGACCAGCAGCCAAGGGATGCCCTGGTCTCTGAGCGAGTTCAGGGCTGGCGCGTCATGGGGGCACCCACCTTGGGGAGCTGCTTGGGCTGGATTCCCAAGTAAAGGAGCAGAGAGAAAGCTGGGTGAAAGCAGGGGAGCAGCTCTCCGCACTGAATTGCTTTGCTTTCATGGCAAGGTCCATGTCCCACCCCCTTCTCTCTGCTCTTCCCTTTCCTCCGAGATTTCCTCCTCTCTGCCTCCCGCCTCCTCCCCTGGGGAGCAGCCGAAACTCTCTGAAACTGCCTCTCAAGGTAGCGCCAACCCCTCTGACCTGAGTTCAAAGAGCAGGGGAACGGCGACTTCAGCCCTTTAAAAGCTTCGCTCTTCCCCAGGGACCGGCCCCTGGGGAGGACACGCGATTTCCCTGCCGCAGGAGAAGACATAAAGGACCCGGTGGAGCGTACGGCTCCAGGGGACCGTAGGCCATGAGTGGGGTGTACCTGCCGGAGCTGCAGGACTTGGTCATCACGGAGCAGGATGCTGCCGGCAGGGGACCGGCAGCTGCAGGAGTGAGGCAGAGCTAGCAGACGCCCTTTGCATGGGGAACCCTAACCCTAAGCCTAGCCCTAAGCCTAACCCTAACCCCCCCTCCCCACGAGAGGTGCATCTGTGGAGCAGGAGCACGTGATGGCTGTCAGAACTCCTGCCCCTCCTCTCCTGGGTGCACCTGTGCCCTTTGCCGCCTGCCTCCGGGTGCTCAGGCTAGGGGGGCTCCCCAAAGCCGGCAGGAGGAGTTTGGGGCTCCGGTGGCTCAGAGAACAGGACTTAGCTTTGGGGGGACTCTACGAGCTCTGCCCCTCGCTGCTTTGCCCAGGGATGCAGCTCTCCCCGAAGAGCCGCCTGCACCCATCCCTCTCCCAGGCCCCCACGCCGCCGTCCTCCAAGCAGGCTGTAGGAAGATTGCTACGGCAGGGAGCTCCCCTCTCGCACCCTCAAAAGCCCCAGCCTGAACTCCTGCCAAATCCAAGGATGTGGCCCCCGCTTCCCTAGCCCCCCGTGTCCCTTGATGGTGCGAAGCTGTGTCTGGAAACCCCATGCTCGGAGCAGCCTCAAGCCCACCGAAAGCCCCTCGCCGCTCGCACGTGACATACCGGGCTCGCGGAGCCGTCCCCAACACGGCGCGGGAGGTAGGGCTTGAGTCAATATACAGCAAAAGGAGTCCAAAGAACAGCCACCCAGAATACAAAAGAGAGCAAGTGGGTGAGAGACCTGAATAGTAACCCCTGATGTGAGTCGGCCCCGGCCGGGGTGAAGCCTGGCGCTCGGGCGCCCGCCGTGTCAAGACCTCCTGGTATAAATAAGAGCCATGAATCCACCTCCCGGGGCCAGGGAAGGAAGGGCTCAGGCATCGCATGGTTTGGCCCCCCACCGCCCTGCCCCTCCGTGCATGGGGCGGCCCTCACTCGGCCCCCTCCCCGTCCAGGCAGCCGTTCATCCTGGCGCTGTCCTCGCCCAGGCCCTGCAGGTCGTACTCCTCGTCCAGGAAGTCCAGCGAGTTGTTGCTGGGCAGCCCCCGGATGGTGAACTTGTGAGACACCTTGGTCCACTGCTCCCGGTTGCTGGCTACCCTCTCGTACAGCTCGGTGGCCCGCGGGAACAGGTCTCGGAGCAGCCTGCGGGGCAAGGAGAGGGGCTGCCGCAACCACGGGCCCTTTGGGGCGTCCTGGCTACTTCCCTCCACCCCTGCAAGCTCTTGCAACGTGGGATGTAGCAGGCTGTTAACCTGCGGAGCCCCTTGCTGCAGGGGGAAGCTGTATTAGGGGTAGACCTAATGGGAGAGGCCATCTGCCCGGTGCAGGATGGTCCCTACTATATTAGTCCCATCTAGGGCTTCCCATCACAGATCCCCAGGCAGGGAGAGCTGGGATGCTCCGGTATGGATGCTGCAAGCCTCTATAAGCAGGCAAGGCAGTGGGCACACATCCGCCGGTCCATACCCTGGGCCATCTGTGCACTTGGTGCCTAGGGGAGCATTCAAGGGGACCCTCCCCTCCCTGGAGCACTTTGAACCACAGGCCCCAAGCGCTCTGGCTGGGATTTCCGCACCCTGGACTCACTTGTAGATGGGCATGGCTATGTGCTCCATGAAGCTGATCTGCAGCTCAGGGATGTAGGCTTTCTCCCGGTCCATCATCTCCATGGGGCGGTTGCCCATGGCTTTCTCCTGCAGGGAACCAGGGGTGGGGGCAGTGAGTTCCTCCCACCTGGTCACCCTCCCCTCTCCTCCTCACAGTACCATGACCACAAGTCCCAGGCTGTCTCCACACCGCACGCTTAGCACTGGTGGCTTGCACGAGGTCAGCCTGGCCTGGCTGTGAGCAACGTCCCCGGGCGACTGCATTCTGCCAAAGGGCAGACCCCATGGGATGCTCTAGGACAGGGGTAGGCAACCCCCAGCATGGGTGCCAGAGTGTGGCACACGAAGGCATTTTGCTTGGCATGTGCACCTTGGGGCAGACGGCAGGGAAGAGGCCAGGGCTGCACTGGCTCAACAAGGATCAGGCCCCTTGCAGCTCCCTTGCCATCTGCTCCTTGCACGCCAACATCTTACAACCTGAGCTTGCAGGTGTTTTTGGCACTCTTTCCAAAAAACGTCGCCGACCCCTGCTCTAGGAGGCTGCCCCGGCCAGCCGTGGCTCTTGCAGGAGGCATGGTGGGAAGGCGCTGGAGGACTACCAGCCCTCCACCCCTCTCGCCTATGTCCTGCTGCCAAGCTGGTGGATGCCAGCTCAGGCGCGACAGATGGAGGGTGCAACACCCTGGCCCTAGCGGCCCAGGAAGGAGTCAGTGTCTGAGCTCTCCCACTGCCTGGTTCAGGGGCAAGGAGGTGGAAGGGGCATGCAGGCTGCCCCGGGGGATTTCCTCACGCACCAGATCTCCCTGCGAGAAGAACTCCTTGTAGATCAGCTCCTGCAAAGGAAAGGCCATTGCTTATTTGAGCTGCTGGAAGGCATCCACAGCCCAGCTCATAGGAGCCATAGACACCCAGGTCAAACCCCCTTCCACTTCCCCCCGTGGTTAGGTCGGCACAGGGGGTGCAGCGCTGCACCGCTGATTCCTGCTCCACCCAAAGTTTCCAACCCACAGCCTGGGAGCAGCAGCGTATTTCTATTGACTTCACAGCTCGTTGTCAGCTCCCTGCTTCCTGCTAATCTCTCTCCCCTCTGCAGGTGTGAATGGCCCTCTGTCCTTTCTCATGGTCTGTGCAAACTATCTTTTCTGCTGCTATCTTGCTGCCTGTTCCCCAGTCCTCTCCTCTATTTCTCAGCCCTGCGGGTTGCTTTTAGCTCTAACTAAAATCCTTAACTTTGGTGCAATCAGATTAACTCAAGGTATAGAAATGACTGCCGATGAGGCGCTATCGAGATGCTCCGGACAGGTAGATTTTGTTTTGTGAATCTGAATCAGATTTCATGCATTTAGTGCACTACAAGATTATAGGTGCATTTACCTAAAATGAATAGGGACTGATGACACAGTATCCTTTTGATTATTTTGACTCTTTTTTGCCTGGTTTGTGGGGTTTTTAAGTAAATATATACTCTAGCAAATTAGTGCACATTCCACTAGTTATATATATTTTTTGCTTGGCTCTTCAACTGAATGATATAGTGTTAATACAACTGAATATGTAGTGTTAAAGTGAATAAGATGCCTTATAGTAAAGCTTCTAGTTTCTCTTTAACTGGGATGGTTTGGAAATGGGATGATCTGGGAGAAAAATGGGATGATACACCATACCATCTGCACCCCCTTTTCGACATCCTAGATCCACCCATGGATAGGCACTTGCCTCCCGACATGGACCCAGAGCTCTCGACCACCACTGAAATGAATGCCCCAGGAATCAGAGGGGATGAGATGAAGATGCTCAGGGGGGCAGAGGCAGTATTTGCTGGACCCCCGCAGGGAACGTGCTCTGGGGTTTCTGGGCAGCACAGTCCAAAAGCAAGCTGGTGAGGGTGGAGCCAGGGCAGGTGCAAGGGTGCACCCCGCGGGTACTCACCGCGATCTTTCTGGTGGTCTTCCAGCCTTTGGTCTGGTCTGAGAGGTCGCAGGAGGTCATGAGGAGGCAGAGCAGCAGGCGGTGGTGCTGCTTGTTCTTTGGGTCGTAGCCCACTTGGAAGGGGAAGGGAAGAAGGGTGAGGGGGCTGACGCTGACCCTACCAAGCTCCGGCACTGAGTCCTGCAGCCCGGACGTGCTCTTACCATCCCCTTGCACTGCAAGACTGCCTCCCATCAGATGCACACATTCAGGGTCACAGGGGAAGAGGCACTAGGGTCCCCAGGGCTCCCAAATCTAGGGGTCTGAATGGCATGCTGAGGCAGACCTGGGTGCAATCCCCACCCCAGTCACCAGGGGTCATAGAAATCTCTCCCTGCAAATCACACCGGAGTCCTCCGACGCCTGCCGCGGCTGCCTCAGCACCGAATCACAGACCCGCAGCTCTGCGACCCAGGAGCACTGGTCTGCGATGGGTCTGGCGCGGCAAACTCTTTGTGGGAAAAATACCATGAAACAAAGCAAACGCTCCCGGCAGGTCTGCTGCTCCCCGGATGCATTACCTTCCGCCATCTTCTGGAGGTCCTTGAAGATCCTCAAGTGGTGAGCGAGGTCCGTGGCCAGGATAATGTCCCTCATCAAATCCAGCATCCGCTGGTAATCCTGTGTGGGCAATCACACGCTGGGTTATTGCAGCGTGGCTCTGGGATGCCACTGCTCAGGACAGACCACGAGGTCAGGCAAGGGCATCGGATGCAGCCAGGGCAGGGGGCGAGCAAACCAGGAGGCTCGTGCGGATGGGTTGGCAGGGTGGGGACAGGCATGGGATGGGCAACTTGACTCAAATGGGGCTCTGTACCCTCTGCTGCTTCAAAAGCAATGGTGCTGAGCCAGCAACATGCCCATAGCTCTCCCCATCAGGCTCAGGGCTGCAAGCAGCATTGAAGGGACTAAGGGCAGCCTGTTCCTGGGGCCCCCAAACTGGGACTGCTCAAGGAGTAGATGCCTTCAGCTCCAAGAGGGACCCAGGCCAGCTTATGCCTCTGGGGCAGGGGGTACAGTACAGAGGGCAAGTGTCAGATCCCACCGCACCCACACACCTAGGGCTGGCATAGCAAGTGGAGCCATGCTGGCTGGGCACTGGGGGCAGCTCGCTGCCCAGCCCAGCACATTCCCAGTGCCCTGGTCCCCGGGGTGCTGGACAGAGAGGTGGAAAGCTGCACCCTCCCAACTCACCTTGCGCGAGAAGTGGTCGAAGATGTTGCAGCCATGAGTGTTGAGGATGGCGATGGCCTGCGCAAAGTGGTGCCGCTGCCGAGAGAAGTGTGCAGGGGAGGGGCGTCAGCAACAGGGCTGGTGTCCCCATGCACAGCGACCGGATGGGACCTGCCCTGTGCTGTCCCCTCGCCCCAATGGCTCATGCCTGGGTCCCGCTGCTCCACAGCAGGGCTCCAGGGAAGGACAGAGGCTGGGAGCGGGCACCCTGATGTCCCCGATGTGCTTGCAAAGGGGCAAGGGAGGCAGGTGCCGTGCTCTCGGGCATGGGCTGGGAAGCGCTGCGGGAGGAGGCGGGGGGATGGACGCGTGTTACCTCCATGACGGAGCCCTCGGAGCTGTACAGCGCGGCCAACACGGACTTCTGAAAGACAGAGGAGCCAACGCGGTGAGGCTGGTCAGGTGCATGGGTTTTCCCCTCCTTACCTGGCCATGCAGCTCAAGCCAAAGACCCAGGGGAGGCGAGGCAGCAGCAGGCTGGGCAGCCCTCTGGCAGCTCGGCCAGCCTGCCTCAGCCCCGCCAGCTCTGGGCATGTGGGACCAGCAACTCGTTCCCACCCAGGCCTTGCAGCGGCTATGTAGCTCTGAGAGGGGCAGTGACCAAAAGGCCCCAGATGTCCCAGCATGAGCAGGGTCCAGCACCAGCTCTCATGTCTGGGGTGCCAGAGGCAGTCTCAAGGGGTCCAGCTGCCCTGGCCTGCACTCCCACCTGCCCCCCCGGCCCGTGGCGAATTGGCCCCCGCAGCCACAGTGCTCCAGCCCTCCCTGCTCGTGGCTGGGCTGGGGACCACAGCGTCCCTGGGGGAGACAGGATGAGCAGCAAGTGGGATGGAAATGTCACAGATGGTCAAGGCAGAGGTGAGACCAAGGCCTGAGATGGTCACAGGTCCTGGAGGGGGAAGAGGCTGTCCACTCCTCCTCCCCCATTCCCTTGCCCCTTCTTTGAGATGGGTCATTTCCAGCTGGGTCATTTCGGATCGGGTCACCCAGGCTCATCCCCCACCCAGCCCCTGGCTGCCCAAGACCTAGGAGCCCCCTTGCACCGCAGCGATCTCCCCCCCTACCGAAGCCACTTGGAAGGAGTTGTTGGTGCCTCTGTGGTCCAGGTCGTGACACATGCAGGAGATGAACAAGGCAAAGATCTCGATGTCCCTGCCGGGAGAGGACAGGCAGGACAAGCACTAAGCTATGGAAGCGAAGGGACGGGGGGCCGCGGCACCCAGATCTCGGCCAGACTGGACTGGCTTCAAAACAAGCTTCCTCCCTCCCCACAGCTGCTTGCCCAGCCCTGTGGCTGCAGAAGGCAGTGGGAACAGTGCCATCACCCTGGGCTTGATCCCAGCCATGCAAAAGATGGATGCAGGGGCCAGGTCAGCCCCCAATGGGGACATCAGTGGTATGATGCATCTGGACAGGAAGGGAAGAGCCACGTAGTCATCGAAGTGCCCCAGTGGGGACATCATCACCAGCGCTGACCCTCGGACTTGCAACCAAAGCCCTGGCTCTTCCATGGAGCTATGGGGTGAGGACCACGAGCACACATAGGGGGCACAGAGCCAGTCTGGGGAGCTGCTGGGATAGTGACCGGAGAGAAAAGTGCCACCTACAGACCCCTGGGCATGGTGGAAGGGGTGTGGGTGCACCTAGGGAGCTCTCCCATCAAGCACTGTCTCAGCAGCATGGGGATGGGGGCTGCAGGGGGTGTGGGTGCAGCACAAGGCATGGGGAAGCTGGCTCTGGCATGGGCTGGCAGCCTCTCTCCACCTACTCCAGGTAGTTGACCAGCTCCAGGTTCTTGTAGAGGAGGTAACAGAAGTGGGAGACAGAGAAGGCGTGCATCCAGTTGTGGTAGGGGGGGTCCCGGTAGCCCTTCTTCACCATCAGGCAGAACCTGGCCGGGAGCAGAGCACAGGCATTAGGATCGTGGGATCAGAGAGGAGCAGGGCTGGAAGGGAGCTGCAGAGTCTAGTCCAACCCCTGCTTGAGGCAGGATTGGCCCTGTCCCAGACAAACCCAGTGTCCAACCTCTGAGCAAAACCAGTCATCCCTGATACAGCACCAGGCTTCACACCTGAACCTGGGGAGACGGACACAGGACACGGCCCCCAACATCCAGCTGCTGCATAGGCTGTTCATATATGGTTTAGAGACCCCAGGCAGAGCCGTGTTCCTGCTACGGGGGAAGGCAAACCCTGCCAACCCGTACCAATCCGACTGGGGGGTGTGGCAGAAATGCCCCCGTCGGTGCCCCTCTCCAGAGATCTGTCTCCACCGGCCTGAGAGGCTGCTGTTGAATCTCTCACAGCGGGGATCTCGCTCCTTGTCTGCAGACAAAAGCCTGGCGCCTGGGAGGCGATGCTCTGGTCACCTGGGCAGGGGGGGAAGACCCGTCCCTGCGCGCGGGCCCAGGTAGCCAGGGATGCTTTGCAGATTGGACGGTTTGTAGCCAGTATTGGCAGCTTCGATTGGACCGGCTGCTGAGGTCAGGGAGGTTTTAAAAAGGCCTGGGC